TCTCTCTCTCTCTCGCTTCGCTTCGCTTCGCTTTGCTTTGCTCTGCTCGCTCTCTCTCTCTCTCTTTCCCTCTCTCTCTCTCTCTCTCTCTCTCTCGCTCTCTCTCTCTCTTCTCTCTCTCGCTCTCTCTCTCTCTCTCTCTCTCTCTCTCTCTCTCTCTCTCTTGCTTGCTTGCACACGGACAAGGAGAAGCAGGCGCCCCTCCCGCGCACGTGTGCGCACCGGGCCCGTGGTCTTGGCAGTGAAACTGTTAACCGGTTGAAGGCCGCGTTTGGTGAACCGTTAAATCCCCCCTATTGCCCTGAACACTAGTTTCCCCAAACGCGCCTCATCTGTACTCCGGTCTTCCAAAGATCTCTCAACTTTTGGCTGAGGTCCCGACGCCCCTTTGGGGAAAAAAGGGAGATGTCTCCCCCACGGCTTCGGCTTGAAAGGAAGCTTCTCACTGTGGCCTACTTCAGCTACAGCGCACTGCACGAGGTTCCGGCCTTACAACTGACTCCCCCAAGAAACAGCGGAAATGCACTCACAGCAACCTACAACCTAGTCACGCAACAGACACTGGGCCTTTCCCCCGGCAGTTGTTGGAGGCTCTCACTGCGCTTGCCTTCACTCATCGCTCAGGTCGGCGCGGTTTCCTCTTTAAAGGCGGTCGCTCCGGTTTCCCCCCAGCTGGGAAGGTTCTGGTTGTCGCGGTCGGGCGTGGCGAACCTCTTTCCTCTGTCTCAGCAGTGTCCCCCTCACGGGCAAGCCTCAACACTTGCTGTGTGAGCGAGGAGGGAGTGGCTGGTTCCCCCATGGTCCTGGACTGGCTTGCTGACGCCCGTCCCTTGGTTCTCTTGGGGAACTTCACCTTCAGCTCCTTTGCTTGGTGCGAAGTGCTGTCACTCGCTATTTTCACCACTCGTGGCTGTCTCCCCTCTGCCCACTGTCTGCCCGCTGCGTACACTGCGGTGTTGGCGCTTTCGAGGTCGAACTCCTCCGTCTCCACCGCAACTTCCCCCGCCTCCTCGTCTAGGTCTTGTAGTACTCGTTGTAGAAAGTCCGCGTCATTGAGCAGGGGCGCTGCTGTGCCGGCGCTGCTTTCCCCCGGCTCTGTACTCCCCCTCGGTGCCTGCATGTGCCAGGCTGTTCTGAGCTGGTCTTCCGTGAGGTCGCCGAATGCAGCATCGACAGCGTCGTCGTCTGGCCATTGTGGTCTTGACGTCCCCCCAGTCCGTAGGTCGTCTTCTGTTGCCTGAACCTCTGGTGTTTGAGGAGCTGCAGTGCCATCAGCTTGGCTTCCCCCACTGTCCAGGTCGCTCTCTGCTCCGGTCCAGTCTCATCTGCATGTGTGGCTTCTTCTTCTTCCCCTGGTGGCAAAGGAGGTGTGACTGGGGCTTGTTCCCCCATGTCTGCAGCTTCACGAGGATGGAGATCCCCCGCAGTCACTTCCTCCCCCGCTTGACCTTCGGTGGGCGTCTGGTCGAACGCCCCCGCTAGAGTCTTCCACTTTGCAGCGTCCACATGTAGTTCTTCATGGTGTCGAAGTTGTAACCCCGTCCAGAGACCTCCCACCTTGAGGGGCCGCTGCTCCAGACTCTCCATGACATGGCTGAGCGTTCTTCTTCCCCCGTACAATTTTGCACTCATGATGCAATTGTACGCTTGGTCCGCCATTCGCTCCACTATCCCCCGCCTCTGGTCTTCGGAGAGCACTCTTACACTGGAACTCGGCGCTTCTCCAAACATGTGGAATGGAACGACTTTGTCCCCCCATGGTACACCACTTCGCCTTTCCACGCTTCTGCATATAGTTGTTCAACCAGCCTTCTTGTAGAGCGGCGGGGTCACTGTCGGTGCTGCCGCTCGTCTCGCTGGACGACGACTCTTCGCTGGAGGACGTCGAAGCCATGGTTGCTTCTTGCTCCCCCGACGGAGCCTCTTCCCCCCTTGGGAGGGCAGCCTTTGGTGTAGCTTGGCCTCGTTGGTGAGCTGGCTGCGGCTTTGCTTTGACTCTCGGCGGTTCTTGACTCCCCCTCCTCCGCAGCGTCCTTTGGCGCATCTTTGCGCCGCTTTCTGGGAGGGATGCCATAACTCTCTCTCTCTCTCTCTCTAACGTGGCATCCTCAAGGGGTCTCGCTTAGCAAAGGGCACGACATGACATTCCGGAGCTTCAGGAGAGAGAGGGAGAGAAGTACACTCTGATGCTGATTGCAGCACAGAAATATGATTCCAAGGAGAAGAAGCAAAAGATGCACAAGAAGAAGAGATCATGAAAGCATGAAGAACAGCATCAATCAACAACAAAGCATCGCAGCAACCATAAGAATAATTCTCAGAAACCGTGCTCTTTCGGAGGCGAGAGGAGGAGGCGATGGGTTTGGGACCCGGTTCCCGGTCCGGCTGCGCCACTTCCGCCGAGCCCGCCGCGCCCGTTTGGCGATCCGTCAGAGCCCGGAGCGCACGCTCCAGGTTGGCGTTCTGAATGCTCTGCCTGAAGGCTCGCAGCGGCTCGCGTTTCTGGCACTCCATACAGATTTTAGGGCTCAACCCTTCGGATTTCCGAAGATCTTGATGATAGTTGTGATTTCTGTTCGTGCTGCGCTGGCTGAGATACTACCATGAGCATCATGGGTGCTCAGTTCTCTTGACTTGAGCTACTACTTCCACAGCGCAAGTGTTGCCGGATCATGTCACAGACGAAGAAAAGTGTGAACATCATCACGGCGTGTTGGAGGCTCATTTGGGCCATTCAAAGTACTGTATCAGACGGCTACAGCTTCTGCAGCCAGTATCAAGCTCGACAGAAAGACGTCAGCAAACATGCCGCTGCGTGTTCTTATTGCAGCCCTCGCTTCAGAATCCGGCTGCTTTTGCTCAGGTCTACATCTATACTGTTGTGTGCCATGACATCAAACCGGTATTCCAAACACGTACGGAGTTCTGACACGCTGGCATCAGGCGGTGGGCAATCTTCTACATCCCGAGGCCATAAAACCTTGCATCCTAAAAACCTCTTCAAGCCATGCTAAGACACGAGCGCCCCTTAAAGAAACACGAAAACAGAGTTGCAGCTTCGGCGACTGCTGAATGAGGGCGAAGAGACCCTGCACCAGCAGCCTAAGTTTTTGCACGGTTGAAGCCTCTGGACATTGAGCTGCGGGACTTGAGGGTTCCAAACTCCCGGGTCTTTGGGGAATTTGCGGCTGCGGGGGTTTCGGATTTCGGGAGTACGAGCTCGGATCAGGGTCTTGCTTTTGTGGTGATGTGATTGTGATCGCTGCTGCCGATTAGTAGGGCAATGAATGGAGTCCAGAGGGCTAGGATTAAGAGTTGGAATATTTCCCCACCTGCCCAGCTACAGAGTCGCACAGCAAGGACAAGGATTTGCCGTATGTGGTTTAGGGCCAAGGGCTACAGCATCTGGCATTTTGCCGGCTGCATGGAACTCGGCCTTTGAAACTTGTTTTTCAGTGTACATCAACATCTCCGGGGTAAGGCTGCAACTTTAATATGACGTGTTCGCAAACCATGAACACGCAATCCTTCAAATTCGTTTGGCCACGGGGAGTGACACGCCACTGTCATTTTACTTCTCACTCGCCACGGCTGCGGCCCAGCGGCTGCTGGTTCTGTACCAGGAGCTGCTGGCTCTGCAGGCCTCAACGTCTTTCTTTCTGGGTAGATGCGGGCTAGAACTGGGCTCATCCTCACGAATTTCTGGCAGCCTCTAGCGGTGCAGGGACCCGCGGATGTCTTGCGATGACGGGTGCAAGATGTTCTATACCGAAAGGAACTGTGCAGACTCAAGGGGGCATGTTGGCCCCGAACGTACTCGAATGCTCTTGTTCATGCTGCTGTACTTGCTCGCAGCCTTCCCTGCATTTAGTCCTCCATCATTTACATTTAGTCCTCCATAATTTCATCTAACCATTGAACCAATAGCCCGCCTAAGGCTAAACACAGATTTTGCAGCGAAATGTCCCTACTTGTCTTTTCCGCCTCTCACAAAAGGCAGGTCTCCATGACAGCATCATAAGTAGAGGAGCTACAGCTAGTCACGTGGCCCCACATCGAGCTCATGCTGGATCAGAGATTGTAACAAGCCTCTGCTTCAGCAGCACAAAAACAAGGTTCAAACACATGCATCATACAGCCAGCTTACTCTCAAGACTGCGTCACCCTTTGGACGGCTACCCCGGGACCCGGTTTGGAATTTTGGGGTTTCTGCACTTTGGGCTTGGGGGGCCTGCTTGAAATTGTTAAGCATGGATGGTGGGTTTGCAGGTTTGCAGGCTGCAAGGGCGTGGGGGTTTGCAAGTTTCAATGAATGCTCTCATCGATGGTCTACATTTACATCCACCACCCGAAAGCCCCTAAACCCGGAGCTTGCCGCTCGTAAGCCCGAATCTGGGGGCCTGTACCACTATGACATTAATACGACAAGGGCATGTTGCAAATGACTTAGTATTCGACCGGTAAGGTACTTCCGAAGAACATCTGAGGAAATGTGTGTCGCCCGAGCCTTGCTTTCTCAGCTGCTCCATCCTTGCTTTCGTCGGGCTTTATCCGTGCCGAGAGGTGATGTAGGGCTTTAGGAGTTTACATTGGAAGTCTCGACTCTCGCAACTCGCTCAATGCCGGCCAGGCTTCACGACAACTGCTCCAAACTATCAGTCTACAGTAGCCAGATGTGATCAACCCTCTATCTCTCAAGACTCAAACACAATAAACAAAGCTGGGAGACTATCAGCTGCCATGAAAACACCACATCGACAAACAAGACCGCCTTAAAAGCTAAGCAAGCCCACAAAAGCCCAAACGCCAGATAATCCAACAATCCCAACCCCTTTCTGACTGGGCTGAGGCCTAGCGAATCCCCTGACCCCGGCTGTTGTATTCGCGCCCTCAACCCTTGCATCCTTACGCTCCAATACTGCTCCAATTATCAGCAGAAGATCCATCAAGCTCAACCCCTAAAGGCTCTGCACCAAAACCTGCATTGACAAAGATCAGCTTCACGAAGTCCCGGAGGTTGGAAGCCTCAAAATCCTGCCCAGGCGCTGTGCCGTCAGCATCTCGAGGTGCTGCCGATCCGTGGCATCGGGAGGCAGGGTGATGGGATCCACCTTGCAGATAGAATGGAGGGTGTTCTTGGGTCTCCTTGACTGAGGCTTACCTCCAAGATGGGGTTGGTGCCGAGGCTTTCTGAACGAAGTTCAGCGCCTGGGGCCTGGGAGCGTTGACACTGTTTGCTCCTCGTAGCACATGTGGAAAAGTTGCGGCATTCCCCAACCAAACGATCTTCGAATTCTTGCTTCCGAGGCTTAACCTGACCTTTAACGCTGGATACCTTGAAAGTGTTTGTTGGAATTGTTGGAACGTTCCCGAGGCCCTTGCTGTTGTTCGTCCTTAGTAACTTTAGCATGTCTTGTACTGTACATGGCCTGCAAAAACCCGAATTGACTGGGTTTGAGCTTGGGGGTTGGGGTTTCGGGACTTGGGATTTCTTCGAGTGCGGGCTTCGAGAGCCGAAACCATGTTCTCAAGGAAGAAACAGAGAGAGAGAGAGAGAGAGCGAGAGCGAGCTGGACAAACAGAACTGGCAACTCCTGCGAGACCTCATCCCTCAACACCAAACACAAGCACATCGAGTAAGCACAAAGACACAGGCCCTAAATGCAAGTCCAACTGTCGATAGAATCTCCAAGAGCCTCCAAACCCTCGAAACAGTGTCTGCACAACATGCGAGATCTCTGAAGCTTGCGCCACCATGCCTGGATCAGCTCCGGCTGTGGAATCTTTGCACCTCCCAAATTCCCGGGCTTCGCAGCTTCGACACAGGCTCTGCGCAGTGAAAGACAATCCAGTGTGTCGTACACGACGGTCCCACTGCGATACCACAACTGACCATGACCACCGAACGTCGCACACTGCAGACTTTCACCGCTCACGGTGGTAGAAAGAAACAGAGGTGTACCTAGGTTGCTGCTTAGTCCAAATTCCTCAAGTTTGTCGACAAGCGACTTCCCACGAGATCTGGCAGCTGTGCCGTGTTTGGGCGGCTCGACTCCACGGGGCCGACATCGACTGCATGATGCTGCTTCTTCTGCTCGTTCCAGCGCGCCTGCCATGATTCTTCCAATCTGCGAGCTTCTTGCAACATGCCCCAATCTAGTCTAGGTCTAGCACAAAGAATACGTTTCGTCGCCGTCGTAATGGTAGCACCTGTACTAGATGTTCGGAGTGCTGGCGTTGGTGCTTCTGCTGCCGCTGCGGCGGCAGAAGCGGTGCTAGTGCTGATGCACGCGCCGGCGGTGCTGAGGTGCCGGTGGCGTTGGTGCCGATGGCTGGGGGTGTGGAGGGGTGCTGGACGGGCAGCACCCAGAAGCCATCTCAATATGTACAAGAAGCCGCCATTCATTGGCAACATGCAAAGCACGCCGCCGAAAACCCTTCCACTTCCACACTCCCGTCGGCCGAAAACTACCTCGTATCTCAAGCCATGAAACTCCCTAGCCCTGGCCGTTTGGTCCCCGAGGCCTCGAAGCTCACCGTCTGACCTTCAGTCCTTGGTTGGGGGGCTGACAAACCTAGGCTTAAAGCTTCTTCGTGTCGCAATCGAGAGCGCTTCGGTAGGTTTGGGTGGTGGGTGGCTCCTGCATTTCAGGCTGCATGTACGTTTGGAAAGGTTGAAGACAGATCCCGTGTATGGGAGGTTTCGGACTCACGGCTTGCTGTAGGGTCTGTTTTTTGCGAGTCACTGTCCGCAGAACCAAGAGGATTTGGGATTAAAGTGAATTGCTGTCCCAAAGGCATGGGTGTCTGTTGCAGGTAGCTGCTATGCACGAAGAGCTCTCGACCATCCGCACACTGCACCTTGCCGAAGCCGCGCTTCTCGTCCCACTTCACAACCACCTGAGGCGACAAGGGAGCTTCAGGCAACATAGACCCCTTCCAGATGCCATGGGTCAGGTCGATTAAGACACCCCACCCCCCGTCTGCGCGGGTCAGCTGAGGAGGTCTCTTCTTGAGTCTGCTCCGGGAGGGTCCAAGGCAGCCAAACTGCAAAGCGCACGCGTGCACACACACACACACACACAGACACACAGGAACACACAAACATTGGTGAGCTTAGACTTAGATCTCCAGGTTTCCGCATCCTATAACCCCTACATCTGCTGCATAGGCATAGACTCGACTGAGCTGCGCTTACTGTGTCTTGCTTACCGAGACACCCCGGTCTCGCGAGCAAACCATCGCCGACCGCGGCACCAGGAGCGCAAGGTGGACCCCTGCGGAAAATGTCTCGCCAGCGTGTTCATGCACCGGGCACCGCCAGGCAGAACTTGTCTCAGCGAGGCCAGCATGGCAGTAAGAGAAAAATTCCCGTGACGTGTACACACGAAGTTTATCTTAGCTTTGAATGAGACTCGTGTGAAGCCTGCAGTCAACAGAATGTATGGCCTTCAAGCAAAATGCTGCAAAGTCATCGCTTGTAAACCATCCACCACAAGTGCAAATCACAAGACATACTGGACCATACCAGAAACATCAATAATACAAACAATAGAAACACTAGTAATTCTCTCGACAGGAATTGTCTTGCCAGAGAAACAGTGAAACGGAAAGAGTTGCACAGACAAGGATAATTAGTCACAATAGTTCTGAAGACACTAACAGCAAACATGATACTGCTTTATACTGCCACTGCTACTGCTTCACAGCTGCCAAAAGGTTAGGCTTGTTGCAACGTGTCGCGCTTGTGCTCGAGAATCGAAGCATGACATTGCCAGCAATCAAGGGGAGCTTCATTAATTATATATGGGGTTTCAGGAAGCCAGTGCGCGCTACTGAGGAAGCCAGCTCAGTGCACTGATCTCGATCAAGTCTGTGTTTAGCGCATAGCAGCTGCTGCGAACAGAGTGACTTCGCATGACTGCACGAAACTCACGTCTGAAACGGCGCTCTGTCCGACAGGCTCATTTGGGTAAGCCGGCAACATTGCGCTGGCCAAGCAACCACGGCGCAGTGTAGCTTCCAGAAAAGCTGAAGCCGACAGTGAGGCCCTTTTGAGGTCCCGCCTTGTGTAGATACCCCAGAAGGATACCCAGACGCTGCACCCCTTGCTGACCCAAAATCTCACAGCCTCAACCGCTAAATCCTAAACTCCCGCGATTGGACCTTGAAGGGAAACCCTTCAGCAGAAGGATCCCGCAGTCGGATCTCCTGCCCGACCTCGTACACAACTGCAAATAAACGAGAACAGTGCTGTTCCTTTCACGAGCCACTGTCGCCGCGATGATTTAATGAGTTTGATGACGACGGCTTCGATAAGTTTTCTGATTGCTGTCACTACATGTTGCTGTGAGGCTTGGTCTGCCGTGGTTATGATTGAATGATACTGAATGTGTATTTCCCAGCCATTGCACCGACCGAGATGGAAAGGACAGCAGCTCTCAAGACACCGCTGGAAAAGCTTGCTCAAACCCCCAGGGGACGAAAGCCGATTGCTCGTGTAGGCCTAGTTCAATCATGATAATATGATCGTTGTGAATTTTCTATGTTTGCTACATGACGCACCTTGTTGGCCTACTTCAAACCTCAGATTAGGATGCTGTCGAACAGTGCCTCGAAATTCGAGAAGCCCTTCTCTTGATCTTCAGCCTCGCTGCATGAAACCATATAAACTTAGACTTGGAGGGATCCCCCAAAGCGTTGGGCTGGCTCTGACCCCGGCGAAAAGGAAGATGCCTGCTTGGCAGACGTAATGCAAGCAAGAACAAACCCTCCGATGGAGCTTTGGGTATGCTGGGCTCCCTTCGGGCCGCGGTGGTTCGATGGTTTCAGGCAGGGCTTGGCCGCAGGGAGCCAAGGATAGTTGGCCTCAGGCTCGAATGATCAAACTGCGTTGTGTTGTATGGTGGTGCTGAAGATGCTGTCGTTCTTGTTGTCGTCGTCGTTCAGTGTGCTCGTGGTGCTGCTGGTGCTGGTGCCGCTGCTGGGCGCATGCTTCGAGGTCTGAGGCTCTGAAAGCCTCAGATTGCCCTTGCACCACTGCCGTAACATGAGGAAAATGCAATGCTTGAACCTCCAGCGCAGAGTACATGCTGTACAGACATGACGAAGCAGCCGATTCTGTCCCGTGACAGGCTCATCCCGCGCCAGCTTGCCATCGCCTGAAGACTCTGCGTCTGCAAAGACAGCATACATGTATGTCTCGTATGTATGTTATGTGTGTATGTAAGTATGTACGTATGTATAAGTGTAATTACATATTTCCGCACGTATTCATGTACATATATGTGTATGTCTGCATTGGGTGTGTATGCAAGTGCACGAAAGTCTTTGTGTAAAACTATAACATAATTGGTTGGTTGGGTGGTTGCGTGGCCTGCTGGTTGGCAGGCTGGCTGGCTGGGTGGCTGGCAGGCTGGTTGGTTGGTTGGTTGGTTGGTCGGTTGTTTCATGTTGTTTCGTCATTTAGATCGTTGGTGGCTTGGTTGTGGGTTAGCTAGGCAGCAAGTCAGCAAGTCAGGTCGTTACTGACCTGTCGGTGCATCTACATCTACGGGTACATGCACATGCACATGTATCAGTGCATCTGTGTTATGTACATGTGTATATATATATATATGCATATATATATATATATATGTGTGTGTGCGTGTGTGTGTGTGCTTGTGTCTTCATTCATACAGGTGCCACACATGTATACAATATATGTATATGTACATATGCAGGTCATATCTTCGCAAATACATACATACATACATACATATATACATACATACATACATACATACATACACACACATGCACATACGTGCTTACTTACCAAATTCATTTACTTACGTACAATTTTGCATCATGACCTACACTTACAGACGGATAGATACGGCTGCATGCACTTGCATACTGCTGCACAAAGCTACACAAGATTACAACTGTCATGAATTTGCATACAGCCACAAAGAGCTACATACGGTTGCATACAGATACATACAGCTAAATACCAATACGTGCAGCTGCACACGGATACATGCAAGTACATACAGCTACAGACAGGCAGGCAGACAGACAGCCAGGCTAGCTGGCTGGCTCAGCCGGCCAGCCAGCCAGACAGACAGAGAGACAAACAGAGAGACAAACAGACCGACGTAAAAACATACTCACACACATGCCCAAACGCACATTTCTCTTCACATACTATATAACATACCTACCTACCTGCTTGCCTGCCTGCCTGCCTGCCGACATACATACCGACCAAGGTGTACGTGCATACATACATACATACATACATCCAGGCAGACAGAGGCACACAGACAGGCAGGCAGGCAACCACGCAGACGGAGACACACAGACAGACAAACACTCATTACAAACACACAGCAATCGGCACCTTCTCAAAAGCTGAAGGTGAAGGATGCACGAGTGCGGTGCGGACTGGCAGGCTCGTCCATCTGCCTCGGAGGGTGTAGGCCCGGAATCTTCCAGGCATTCATTGAACAGGGTGAAGGGTGCCAAGTCTACAGCTGTTGTCGGGTTTGGGAAGCTTTGGGGCTTACTTACGAATTTTCCAGACATGGGCGAGGATCCAGGGTGGCCAAGCAAGGCTCTACGACAGTCAGCTGTCTTGCACGAAATTGTGTCGTTGGGCTGCAAGTTGCTCAAGAAGTTGGGTGATACAACAGCAGCACACGCAGCAGCAATACCAAAAGTAGTCGTCGTCGCAGACGCAGGAATAGCAGCAGCACGAGTTGTGGTAGTGGTACGGAAAGCAGTCTTGAATGGTGCCACAAGTGGCAGCGGCGGTAGTGGTGCTTCGGGACTAGGAGTAAAAGCAGGGCAGGAACAGGAGCAGGATCAGCAGCAGCAGCAGCAGTAGCAGGAGCGAGCAAGATGGTTCCAGGACCAGCGCATAACTGCCGTCCCTCAAATGCTTTCGCGTTTCACGGCCAAGACACTTAATTATGCTTCCCCGCTCAACCAAACAAAAGTCCTGTCTTCCAAGTGCTGCCATCGAGAGCAGAAGGCGGTCGATGTAACTAGCAATGATTCTCGCGTCTCACACGAATCCTCTCACCTTGTGCCGTAATGATGGGCCGCGAGGAACCATTTTCCCGCTTGCGCGGCGTGCATGTCGCGGCTACACTGCATGCGCAACAATGTTTGTGGAATGGTAGCAATTGCGCTCATCGCGGCATGTATATAAGTCGTAATTCGCAATATCCGTCTCAGAGTCATAGTCATACAAAACAGTGTGTTATTCTCGTCACCCACCTGGCACACGTGTACTAGACTGCCACGAATTAGATTGATTACAAATTACAGAAAGTCATCAGTCAGCCAAGTCCCAGTCAAAAAGCAGACATATGGTAATCGTACTAGTAAATGAAACAGTAGCAAAAAGCATCAATGAAACAGAAAATAATAGTCATTGTCATAGTGCTAGCAACTTCTATTACTTTGTAACTTGTAGTACTAATAATTGTAACACCGTGATGACAAAGGTAAAAAGTAAGTTTAACAGTAGCAGCATTAGTAGCAGCCGAATAGCAAAAGCAATAGCACTAAAGTTCGCAAAATTATCATCAATAGTCGCGATAGTAACATCGTAGCGGCAAAACGGGCTCCAATTTCGATTACGCCTCTAAGCCTCTAAGCCCCTAAGGGTTGCTTACGCCGTGGGCGCCCCTATCAGCTTCTATAAGCCTCTAAGCCTGTATTATTCCGCCTGGTCGCTTGTATGCCTCTGCAAGCCTCTAAGCCTCTAATCTTAGGCGCTGAGAAGCTTTGGCGCTGAGGAGCTTATACGCGCTGATTTGGCGGAACCCTTCGCTTTACGTGCTGAGGCGCTTAGGCGCTGAATTGGAGGCGCCGGATGATCCAATCGATCCGGCCTCTCCGAGCGGGGTTTCGGCATGAATCGCTTAGGCGCTTAGACGCTTTAAGGCGCTGAAGCGCTTATAGGCTCTGACGTCCTTGTCGTCTCTGAATTACAGGCGCTGGATCGAACCGGCCAAGCAGACCCTGGGACCTGGGTTTGTTCCGCTTAGGCGCTTATAGTTGTTGAAGCGCTTTTAGGCGCTCAGGCGCTGGTAGGCGTTTAAGCAGAGGCGGCGGATGCATCCGGCCAATCAGTTCTTGTGCTCGGGGTTCGATTCAATTTGGATTCACTGAGGCGCTTAGACGCTTTTAGGCGCTGAGGCGCATTCAAGCGCTTAGGCGCTTGTAGGCGCTGAATTATAGGCGCCGGGATCGATCCGGCCAAGCAGATTTGAAGGGTTCGGTTTGAGCCGCTTAGGCGCTTAGAAGCTTTTAGGCGCTGAGGCGCTTTTAGGCGCTTAGGCGCTTGTTGGCTCTT